TATATCAGACCACCATTCAATTATCACCAATCAAGGCCACTTGAAAGAGTACCACTTGTTCCAAAACTTAAATTGTCTTTCTGCCAAGGTAACTTAAGGGATTTTGGTGGGTCTCAAAGCTAAGATGGACCTCAAGGAAAGGTGAAATCGTCCACGACCACTCCAAAGACATAAAACTCATATGAAGCAAGACCAATATTGTGATATGAAACGCATATACACGGAAAGCATCCTTCCAACACAACCAACCTAAAACCCAAAAGAGAGAATAACTAAAACGAAATTTTATCATTTTTATATGTTACAAAAATTAAAGCCTTTCTATTTTCTTCTTGCTTGTATTGCATCAGCAAGATCATGTATTGAATGAGCATCTCATTATTCAATTTCTGAAACAGATTAGCAGATCTTGTGACTTTCATCTTAAATACATTATTAGTTTAAAGATATAAAAACAGTACCTGCAAATTTATTTTATGTAGAATAGTATTGAGTAGAAACAAGTATATAATGGTAAAGAAGAGATGGTTAATGTTCATCCATAAACAAGCCGAGAAAAAGGCATGTCATGCTTACTAATCCGTAATCAATTTCTGAAACCTTCTTCAATGACTCAAAGTTCACTACCAAATCAACTTCTCATGTTCCGATAATAACAAAAATTGAAAAACTAGAAGAAAAAAAGAGAGATCATCATCATCTACCAGTAACCAGGCCGTGCTGCAAACTAAAGGAAAATTTCTCCACCCCATCCCCCAAAAACCAAGGAGAAAAAGAAAAAGAAAAAGAGAAAGGGATTTACAACCAAAAAACTAAAAAGAAGAGCATTAAACGAAGCTATAAAAACAGAAGGCAACAGTGATAGAAAATAAATCAATAAACTGAGAGAGTATCATGAATATTAGGGAGATTACAACCGTTACCTTGTTAATTAACCTGCTGCAAATAAATGGAAGCAGCAAATAATCTGTTGCCCTTGAAGCCAAAACAACAATAAGTACTTCCTGTCAAAGTAAAAAAATTAAAACCAACAACATATATGTATAGGAGTAGTGTAAAGAAGAATCAAAAACTCTATTTGGGCCAGCTTATACAACTGAAACCCTAAATATTCACCTTGTTACCGAAGCAAAGATCTTACGAAAAAGGGCTATAAAATCAGAATCCAGGAAAATCTGGTAATTGAATAAAGAAGTGACCTGAATAAGGAAATTTCTTCAACTTTGAAAGTGTCATTAATGACACAAGAAAAGTTGAGATCTGGCCAGATGGGGAAACAATGAATTCTCTCCATTTTTGGCACCGCGCTGATGAGTGAACCACAAGGGTTTATGTTTCCTCTTTTGAAACCGAGCTTCCACCGCCGCTTTGAGAGACGACGAAAACCAGAAATATACACAACAACAAAAATCGCCATAAATATACATTAAAGAAATTATTAGACCCCAAAAAGAAAATCAAATCGGCAAAAATGACCATAAATATATATACGAAAGAATTTATGGTCTGGGTTTTTGAGAAAGTACCCTTTTGAAGTCGTAGATAATGGTTTCTCTCCAGTTTTCAGATGGCACCATTGGAAAAGAAAATCACAGCCAAATATGCCCTGACATTTATCAATTCTTGTATTTAAAAACAAAAATAAAATTTAATAAAAAAAAATTATGAGACATAAATAGGCTTGCATTGCATGGTCTAAAGACAGAATGGGGGGAAGAAGAAGAGGAAGGGTTTTGATTTTTGATATTATTCATAACACGTGAGTGAGGCATGAACAAGGAACAATGATCATGTGTTTCCGTTAAAATGTGAACAGTAAGTAGTACATAGAGTGGATAGGGAGGAGGAATTAGTTCATCAGTTTGAAGTTTGATTAGCAAAGGACAATCAAAAGTCACGCTAATTTCAAACTCCATCATTACATCTTATCATAATAATCATGATAATGGTACATAAGATAATTATTGGGATTAAATATATTTATTATTATAATGTGAGAGGGAAAGAAAAGAAAATACATACATACGAGTGAAGTACCTAAAAACATAGACGGTTTAGATTTTTGAAATACAATAAGGTTATTATTATAGTAGATGTACCGAATACTGCCCGGATGTTTCATGATATTGTTATTGTGTTATCTATTGTAATACATGAAATAATATTTTTATTCCTCAAAAGAATAAAAAAAGAAAAAATAAACATATGTAGGTGTGTGTGGGTTTTCTTTCCTTTCATTGTCGCTTTTTGTACGGTAGTCCCTTCACCATATCATCTTGCAAAAGATAAAGAGGTACCCTAAATTGATTCAAGGGTACGAAGGAGGGGCTCTTTGCCTGGGAAAATGAATGAAAAATAAATATAAATAAAAAGCAGACAGACGAACAGAGAGAGGCATAATACATATAATGAAATGAAATTCGATTCTCTCTTATCTTCTTGTAAGAAAGAAAGAAAGAAAGAGTAGACCTGGAAGAAGGTGGAAGGGGAATAAGATGGCGAAATAGAGAGAGTGAGAGAGAGGATGGAGGAAGAAGATAGACACAGAGAAGAGAAGGAAAAATGAATGAAAATGGAGGGCTGACAGAAAGAGAAGTGAGCACGCAGCGCGCAAAGGTATAGCTTTTTACAATTGCCTCAGTGTGCTCACTCTCTTCTGTCAGTCATTCTACTGTCTCATCACCTCTTCCCGCTCTCTTTCTCTCTCTCTCTCTCTCTCTCTCTGTCTGCTACATCGCTTCTTCTTAGGCAGGAGGGGTCTTTCATGGCCGATCTTATGATCTTTTTTTCTTTGGTCGAAGGTCTTATGATCTTATATGGGCTTTGGCAGGTGGGTATGGTGTGCCAACGACTGTGCTTTTGCCAGCGAAAAAAGGCAAAAGAAAGGAGGAAAGTGACAGCACTGGTGGTAATATTAAATTATATAAAGAATAATGCTACTTTTACTACATTTCTATATAGGTGGACAGCCACATATGTAGCAGGAGAGCCTCCAGAGGAACAGAGGAACAGAGACAGAGATAGGGATAGAGATAGAGATAGAGACAGACAGAGACAGAGTAAGACAGATGATGGAGGATCTAGTGGCAATTCCAAATTAATACTAACGCACGGCGACCAACTAGAGTTAGAGATCAGAAATCCATTTCCACTGCTTTCCTAGCTAAACCCAATTTACCATGTTTACATTTTTCATCCATCTACTTTCCCTTTTTCTTTCTTTTTTTCCCCTCAAATTTCTGTTTGTTTCTCTTTCTGGTTTATATGTTAATTTTATTTTGCGGATAAATTATGGCATGGCTATCAAAATAATTACATTTTTTTCTTATTATGTAATATACTAACACATGGATCATGAATGATTTCAATTTCTTACTTTTCATGCATTGACTTATATATAAGTAATAAAAAAATATTATATGAGTTCCATGTTAAAATGGGTAATCAAATATCCTCAAAATATGGAATCGTGTAAACTAGAAGGAGCAGTTAATGTGATTCTAATTTCTTATTTCGTAATTACCGAGTTTCATGAATTCATGACTTCCCTTTTTCTAATAATAAGTAAACATACCATAAGGATTTAGAGTTGGATATCTACATTGAGCGGTGGTTGGTTGTGGGTGTTTCATACATTAACATCTAAAGTCACATCCCTTCTGACTATGGGTGCAAGTTGAATTGGAAATTCTGATTTCGACAGATTCCAATTTTTTATTTTAGTGAGTCTAAATCAATTCCGACATTCAAAAATTTTGACAAATAATTGTTTGAGATTTTTCAATGTAGAGCCAATTTTAACCTTTCAAACCATTGGATGTGTCTTAAATGTTCAACTATTTTTTTAACATTTTCCACACAAAAATCCGAAAATATGTAATATTTGAAAATTCCAAGTTTTCCAAATCTGAATAGATGTTGAAATTCCAAATTTTTTTGGAACGAAATTGGAAAATAATTTTCATTATAATTTTTTATATAATTATTTGAATTGGAATCCCTTGATTCCGATCCAATATGTTAATTTTGAAGACCAACCCTTACTTCTACGAAAAAACTTAGAGATTTTCTATTTAAACCCCACACTTCTCTTAATTCACCTCATGTTCTAAGTTCACCCTAACTTTTAATTTTAATTTTCACAATTTCTAAGAAAACCCCACTATCTTCCCAAACTACCCTTAAATACACCCCAAACTGAAAAAAAATAAGAACTAAAAGAGATTTTCTATTTAAACCCCACAATTTTCTTTGTTCCCAGCAAAAAACAAAAAAAAAAACACAAGCAAATGAAACCCCAAATCCGAAATTTAATACTTTTTAGAAAAAGAGAACAACTTTACCTCTCTCCAAGAACTGTAATTGGAATTCTAACACTTTGGTCTTGTTGAGAGAGAAAGAGAGAGAGATAGAGAGAGTTTGTAAACAGGAAGTTGGAAGGAGGTTTCTAAAACTCAATATGAAGAGTGGTGGAGTGTGTGTATAGATGTACTAGGGTTAATTATTAAGTTGGATGACATTTTTTGTCTTTTTACACAATAATAAAACTTACAGCTTAATGATTTAAGTATTGGGGTGAACAAAGAGAATTGCGGGATTTAAATAGAAAATTTCAAAACTTATATGTAACGGAGATAACACTGTTTTGATATTCTCGGCCAATAACACAATGACACATGAAAAAATTATCTTACGTATCATTGCGTTATTGGTCGAAAATAACAAAAAGTGTTATCCCCATTACATTAGAGTTTCGCTTTTACTTCTGACCTCACCCTAATTCTGATATTAAAACAACTTATTTGATCACGTGACGTGTAAGAGCCAAGAAAAAAACTTTTTCTACAATTCCTTCCAGTTTTTCCCACTCGGCAGTCCTATCTCTCTCTCTCTCTCTCTCTCTCTCTCTCTCTCTTAAAAAAAAATCTTTTCAATATTTGATCATTATTAAGAAAATTTTATACAGTTGAATTTTAATAATTTACAATCAATCGGGCTTATATACAAAGATAAGAGAGGCCCACTTGGTGGGCTGGACTGGACCAACCCCATTCAGTCTTGTTCGTACATACAAACCCAAACCCAAACGCAAACTCCCCTTTCACACTCCGTTTGTTGCATTGCACTCACCGATTTCACAGCAACTCAACAAAAGCAGAGGTTTTTTCCTTGCTTTCGAATTCGAATCGAAGCCATGGCCACGGAAGCTTACGCGGCACGAAACCCGGATGAGATTCACACTGACGTACTCTCTAGTTCCAGACAAGCTTGCTATAAGGTCCTATTTTATTTTCTCTCTATCTGTTATTTTTTTTGTTTGTTTTGTTTTTTGTAAATGTAAATGTGCATGCTGTGGATTGAAATTGGGGGTATAATCTGCAATTGTGTGTATTTGAAAAGGCCCGAGACGCTTTCTATGCGTGTTTGGAGAAAGAATCGGACAAAAAACAGACTGAAATCGCGTCCAAGGGGCTGTTGTACCCAGCTGAGTGCAAAGCTTCGAGGGAGGAGTTTGTCAATCACTGCCGTGCTTCTTGGGTAAAATCCTCATTCTCAAGTCTCAATCTCCATTTTACCTTTTTGCGTTTCTTGGACCATAATTAATGCAGTTTTAGTTTTAGTTTCGTGGGTTTATTTATTTTTTTGTTTCTAATCGCGGGGGTTTTTGACGGTGTAGGTTAAGCATTTTGATGCTCTCTACTGCAAGAACAAGAGTCTGAAGAGGCTTTTGGATGATAAAGACTCGAGGAGAGGTCCGTTGTCACTTCCACAGCCTTACACTTTCAAGCCTACCACCAGTAGTTAAACTTTTGGTTTTGATGGGTTAGCTTAAAATGTTGTTGCTCCTATTGGCTTTGGTGATTTGTAGTTGTACAGGCTTCAGCAATAGCGAGATATAGAATTAATTGCCTAAAGCTTACTTCTGATGGTTAAAGATTTCATATAAAGAAAACTGTAGTATCACTTTCTCGTCTTATTTTCATGAATGGAATGTCGATGCTTTAAGATTACTACATACATTTGCACTTTTGTTTTATCACAATACTGCTATGATTCTATGCATTAATTTTGACTCCTTGCTGTTATGTTATAACTATACTAGGAATACTTGGGTGGGAGTAGGATTGCTTTTAACATTAAAACTTAGAAAAACGGATTTACGAGAAACTCTTGTAAAAAATAATCGAAGTGAATGGAACCTTTATCGATTTTGGCAGGGGTATAAGGCTTGACTTGGCCCCTGAAGACAGAAGGAATCATCCTGGTGAGTTACTGAGTGCTTCATTAGTCAGCGGGAGAGATCTATAATGGTTTTAAGGCTTGCAGAGGTGGTACAGTGTTAAAAAAGTTTTGAGTCTTTTGGTGTGTATTTATGCTTGCTTGAATAAGAAGCACTGGAAAAGAAAGGTGTGTCTATCTGACATGATGTTTCTGGTAAAATTTGATTGTATTAATCTGCATGCTCACGCTAGTTGTTATATATCTCCTATTCTTCATAAGTTTGATGGTCTTGACACACCTAAGACATCTAGGCAATTGCAAGAATGAATTGTTGTCAATGCCATTGTTCTGATTCCAAGCTAGTCATGGACCTGGTGGTAAAGCTTTGTGGAGTTGGTTCATATATGTGTAGCTGTAGCCTATAAGACTGTATGCATCTTTGTGAAATTGTTTTCTCCTTGGTATATGTTTTCGAAGTAGACTCTCTGTAAAATTGTCCGACTATTCCAAATGATCGAAACAAGCTCAGGTGGAGAATGATCTCTTATCCAGCTACCTTCATTGCTAGAAAAAGTTGCTTGGTGTTTGTCTTGTGGACATGTATATTTTGGTTTGCATACTGAAGAATTGAGATAGATAGCTCATAATCAGGTGTTGTGACGTGTATAGATGCTCTACAGATATAGTTGAAAGAGTTGAGGAGGGTATTAGCTTTTGATATTGATAGTGATATGCTGGGAGCTCGTTTGAACTTTTTGGGGGAAAGAGGAAGGGGGTGGTGTTGGGGTACTGCGTGATCATGGCAGTGTTTTGGGTTGTCTGGGGAGAGAGAAATAGAAGAACTTTCGAGAATAAATTAGAACGATAGTGCTCAGTTATGGGACGGAATCAGACATTGGGCATCCCTCTGGGCCTCAACCTCCTCTGAGTTCAGTGGGATAAATTTTCAACTTATCCACCGAGATTGGAACGCTGTAGTCTTATGGCTTAGGTTGCTTTAATTCTCAGTTTTTCTACTGTTCTGTGTGGCCTCCTTGGCCACTTGTTTTTTATGTACCCTTTGTTTTCTTCTTTGCAATAAAATTTCGTCTCTTTTCAATATATATATATTAGATATGACCAGTTGAGAGGTTAAAAATTTCTGTTTTCTCCTGCCAAATCTGAAGCTTATTTACGTTAGCTTTTGTTATGGAAGTTCTGATATGAGTTCACACTGTGAGACACCATTTTTCACAATCCATTGAACTGACTTTCACAGTGTGAATTAGCTGTCCATTATCATTTTCTCCGAATGTACCCTAAAACATAGTGTGATGATGAAGAAGACAACCGAATAGGAGCGGACAGGTGAAGATAAATTTACTGCGCGATGGATTCAAACTGGTTGGTTCACAACCCAGTTTGACTTGAATGCTGGGTAATTTTACCACCTTTTTCTCTGGGGATCACCTTGTTCTTCTGAAGTATTTAGGTCTTCTCTTTGCCTTCATTGCATGTACATGTATCTTATGCACTGCAATCGCATTTCTGTGGAAACATCAAATAAAACTTGTATCGTGAGACAGGAGGAAGGTATAGAGAAGGAACCACTAAAACTTGTGCAAGAATGCAACAAGAATTTTCAATGTCATATCTTTCTGATTCGCATACAGCTTTATTTTAATTAATGAACACCCCCGTGTTGTTGTTCCTCAAGTCTGAAGTAGCACTCTCAAAAAAATATATTGCAATCTCTTTGACTGGCATAGTTTTAGCGGATGGAGAGGAGTTATGGGCTCTAAGGGAATAATAATAGTATTTAGTATTGGAGGGTCAATGTGTGAATGATGAAGTGACATTAAGTAGTGGATTGCATGTCTCTTAATACTCCCCATCCATGATCCACGATCCATGTGCATCATTCAATTTCATATTTGAGGAGATCTCGGAAGAAGATCAAACCTTCAAATCACTTGTGCCGCCTCTGTCGCTCTCATTATCATATGAATCAATATCTTAAAGGGATTCAAACTTCACAATGACATTTTAATTTGAGATTATGAGTTGTTACATGGTTGGAGCTGGATAAACGTAGGCCTTACGTCAGTATATGTTTGGTACTGTGGGAGGGAAGAAAGCTGGTGGCGTGGGATCCACCCACACGACACGACAACAAAACAATGGCAATACGGCGTCGTGGCCAAGGAGGCCATTTGATAATTCCAGGAGACTACTAACTTCACTCTTATTTGATTATGTTTATGATCAACAAACACTTAAACAAAGCAAAATTAGACTTCACGGATGGTTTGGTTACTTCTTTCTCAGCTACCTATACAAATTTTGGCATTGCGTTGTCATTTTTTCCTACAAGTAGTCTTGGGTCTTACCAAGTCAAGTGACAATTCATCAAATCACCCCGGGCCTTTTTCTTTAATAATAATGATAATAATAATAATAATAATAATAATAATAATAATACTTGGGCCTTGTCGAAAACTAAAACACTCAGTTGACTAAAAATCTAATCAGATTTTTTTGCAATAGTAGTATACTGTCATACTCCGAGTCCAAACTACATACACAAAACCCACAGAAGAAACAAACTTTAACAAACTTTGACAAAACCCAAAAGCATAAGTCACCACCAAAGCTTAGCTTAGATAATACAACACCTTTTTTATCCTTAATAATTCCCTCATTGTTATTAAAATTGTAATCATTTCATAATAACATGATTGTGATTTTCAAGATAAACATGCTCGCATTAGTAGTAGTAGTAGTAGTAGTAGTACAATCAGCGGCACTCGGCCACTGGCAGCCAGCCCACCAACTTGCAAAATATAAAACAAATTAAAATACCATGAAAAACCAACAAGAGAATATTAAACTAAAATTAAAATAGAGAAACCCCCAAATAAAACCTCTTTTACCAAAAGAAAAGGATTTTTCCGGGATCATCATCTGCTGGTGTCACCGTGTGAGTTAGCTTTACCCAAAGTCTTCGCAAATACGGCGTCGTCGTGGAGGCCTTATTTTCGTAGACTTTAGACTACACGGCCTTGGTGGAGAGTCCCACGTCACTACGTGTGTTCATTTGTCGCCTAAAAAAGTAAAAACTAAAGCCAATAGGGTCGGTCGCTCTCAGTCGACAACACTTGACCACGTCGCTCGTCATTCAGGGCTTGGAGACGGAGGTCGCGTCTTTAACGGAACCGTCGACCCCACCGTTACCCATCGTGGCTGACTGGACGGTCAACACGGACATGCTGGGAGAGGAGGGCCCTTCGCCACCGTTGGATGCCATGACCGCATTACTGTTGTTGTGGTTGTTGTGGATGAGGGGGTTCCTGGTGTGACACGTGGCAGTGGAGATGGCGGTTGCCAAGGAAATGGGCATGAGGCATAGACCCTTGCCCTGGAGGTACTGCATGGCGGATCCCATGTCTTCCTCCATGAGCTTGGCAACTTGGTGCTCCGTGACCGTCATGCTGTTGTCGTTAGATGAGGAGGCCGTTTGGTTGCCGTTAGAACTCCGGCCGCGGGTCCCGCCATTGGCACTGGCCTGGATACAGTCACCGCCTCCCTACAGCAACGACCAAAAAATTAAACTATTATTTTTAGTGTGAAAGGGAAAGGATACAATACAAAGCTAAAAGAGAAAGAAAGAGCTCTCTCTCTCTCTCTCTCTCTCTCTGTGTCTGTAGGTTTGAAAAGTGAGAGGGAGAGAGAGAGGTGGAATCTGAGAAAGCGGGCACGCGTGCTGCTTTAGTTTTGTCGTTTTGTAGTGATGGAAAGTTTGGGGCTTTGAGTTTTTCAGTTGGCTAGCTGGGTACTGGGTACTTTCCTTCCTTTGGGTAGGTGAAATCAGGGAAATGTGAATGGTGGATTGGTTCTTCTTTTTCATCAACAACAACAACGCCACTACCTAAACAGATTTTCCATTCTCTTTCTTCTTTATGCGGAAAGCATCATATATATATATATATGTAAATGTAATGTTCTTTGGGTCCAGTCCAGTCCAGTCCTTGCTATGATAAAAAGGGTTTCTTCATTTTAATTTACCTCAGAGGACACATCAGCAACAAGAGGAGCAACAGCAGCTGCACCGCCCAACCTGCTCATGCTCAGAACCTACATGTTGTGTAAACATAACAAATTCACAACCATTCCCAACCATTCCCCAAAAAACAAAAACAAAAATTTTACTTAGAAATCCTTTATTTGATTATCATTATCTAATCCAGCAAACAATGTCAACTAGGGAATCTTTCTTTTTCTTTAATTAAGAAATAATTAACTCAGCTCCAGAAAGGAAAAAGGAAAAAAGAAAGAAAGAAAAACATAAAGAAGAAGAGTACCTTGACTTGGAGCTGGAGGAATTTGACATAATCGATGATCTCATCCAGCATTGAAGCTTTGTCTGTCTGTCATTCCAAAACCCACATTACATTAGATGATTGCATCCTAGAATCTCAAATCTATTTTTTTATATATATAATATAAAATATAAAAATATGCTAAACTTATTTAGTTGCGGTCCAGTAAGTATGGCTTGCTAGTACAATATAACACCATTAAATAATATTAATACTTTTTTTCTTTGGTCAAAATATTTTACAAGAATGCAAGTATAACTAACTATGCCTAACCCATTCGCCCTCAAGTTCGTGCCGGAGTACTGCTCGGGACCAACTTTCCCTTTTTTTCAAATTTTTTGGATCGAATTCTTTAGCTTGTTTTCAAATACGCACGGAAGGATGATTCAATCCCTTCCCTATTATATGCGTGACACGTGTCCACTGTGATGCCTCTCTTCTCCTCCCCCTCTCCCTCCCCACAGAAAGAAAAACAAGTATAAATGAATTGCAATCTGACTGAGCGTCAGTTTACAGAACCGGAGGTGTCCCACTGGGGAAATGGGACTGAACAGCTTCAACAAATATTTAATTAAAGGAATATTGATACCGGTCCATAAATAACTAAACTATTCATTTGACAAGTAATTAACTAATTAATTAATTTACCTTGTTGGCATTGGGAACCAGCTCCTGCAGAGCCTTCATTCTCTCTGCGATTCTCTCTCTCCGTAACTGCAACAGCACCACCCCATATGTTTCAGTCGGATCATCACAAATTACAAACAAACCAAGAAAGAATTACACAAAGAAACAACCCAACGTACTCTTTCAGCGATGCTGTGTGGGTCAGTGGCTTGGCCTCTCCTCGCCCTGACTCTGGGTCTGGGTTGTGCGGGTGCACCCCCGCCCCCACCAGAGCCACTCGCCGGACCTTGGTTCATCGCCGCCCCTGGACCTCCATAGTTCTGTGCCTGCAGCGAGCCTCCCTGTATCATTGACGAGGAAATCAATCTACTAATCACTGCCACAGAAGCCAATAGATCATCATAATTGAATAAATAGAAGAAAATAGAGCGGGAGGGCATGCCTGAGGTTGGTGAAAATGCTGATTGGGAGACTGAGTAGTAGCCCCCCCATGCAGTGATCCAGAGAACCCATTGAACAGGGCTTGAACAGAAGAAGCCCCCTCACCTCCCTGTAAAAATTATTATAATATAATATTATCGCCACCCCAGCAGTTCACACTATTTTTTTCTTCTTTCTAATATACATTTATGCCGTCGGTGGTGATTGGCGAATTCAGATTATATACAGGAAGGAAACGAGAGCAGAGGAGAGGAGAGGGAAGGCGATAATTAATTAAGTATGTTTGACAAAAACTCACCACAGGATTGGGAGATTTAAAGGAGGAGGAACCCTCGACGACGTCGTTGTTGGAGCGGTCAAAGTCTCCGTTGCCCAAAGACAAGGCCATGGGAACGAAGCCAGAGTCGGCGGACGTTGATCTGGACATCATGAGCTGGTGCTGGAGCATCATGGCGGCGGCAGCAGCGGCGGAGGCGGAAGCGGATTTGGAGGCACCGGCTCCGGCGCTGATCTGCTGGCTGCGGAACTTGGTGGCGAGGTTGGCGGAGTCATCGTAAGTGAAGACGACATTGTCGGAGTTGGAGGGCGGCGTGTCGTCGGCCCAGGAGCAGGACGAGGGGCCGAGGGTGGAGAGCATTTGCTCGAGGAAGTCGTCGTGGGAAGCGGAGTCGAAGTGAGCGGGGGAGGGGGAAGTAATTTGAGGATGCATCTGAGAGTGAGAGTTATGGAGGTGTGGCCTTGAATGAGAATGGGAGTGAGAGTGAGATTGTTGTTGAGGTTGAAGTTGAAGGTGGTGGTCTTGGAGAGAGAGTTGGGAGGAAGGTGAAGAGTTTAAGAGAGAGTTCATATCTTGCATTTCTTTGCTACAAGGCTGCATATATATATATATATATATATATGATTAGATTAAGGAGATAGAGAGATAAATGATTGGGGGTTTGGGAAGTCAAATTAGAGGAAGAGGAAGATGAATTAAAATATTGGGGTGTTTAGGAGTGGAATTATTGGAGGGGGAGGAGAGAAAGGAGAAAGCATTTGAGAATGGCGATTTTGGGTTGGTGTGTTTGGACGATGAGAATTGAGAAGAAAAGAAAAAACCCTGGGCTTCCGTTTGGAGGGGGAGAGAGAGAGATATTAAATAGAAAAAGTTGAAGAGAGACTGAGGTTGTTTGTTTGTCTTTGTTTTGTATGATTGTGTTGTTCGGGTCTCCGAGACTCTGTCTGTGTGTGGGGTGGGTGGGGCTCGCTTCGCTAGTCTCTTCTGAGTTCTGACTGAGGAGGGCCTTTGGCTTTTTGGGCTTTGGCATTTGGTCAGGGACTCAACTAATCTGAGACTACCACATCAATTGTGCTGCGTATGCGCGTCGCCTCCTCTTCTTTCGTTTTTTATCTTTTAAAAACAAAAAACAAAAAATTGAAATTTTATAGCTTGGAGTCACACTCACACAAACATAACTGTATAAATCCCAATATGACGTGTTCAAGATTTACATCAGAATTCAAAACAATGACCCAATGGAATGGTTACACATTTTTATTTTATTAAAATAATTGGGTTTTGGAATTTGAAGCACTAAAATAAAAAGGGTAATGATTTCCTCACTCCTATTTTATCCACTTACACTCATTTTTTAGTTACAAAAAAGGAGTGTAAGTGGATAAAATATGAGAAAAAGGAGTGGGAAAATCACCACTCAATAAAAAAAGCTCAAGGTTTGTTTGCCGAAAGCACGACCAGTGTATTCTAGTGTTGAAGAGGGAGATCTAAAGCAGTGATATGCTGTGATTGTCGTGGGCTCTCATCTTAGTTGTTAATTTGGGATGCAATCTTAGTTGTTAATTTGACCCGATATTCATTGTATGTTGGCGAAGCCTCCCAGGCTCCCTGCCCTGCTAAAGGAATCCCAATCACAAGACATGATTTGTTCCCCACTTAACCATAATTAACAAGACATTATTTGTTCCTTTTTTTTGTAATGGAGAACGAATTACTTGATTCACAGAAAGACTTGACATTTCAAATGGGTTTTGTAAGTGATTGCTCCTCCTAATTTGTCCTACAAATCCCAATTGCACAAGGCCAAAAGAAAAGATGTAGGTATATGTCCTTGTCTTGCTCCAATCACATCCCCACTTTTCTTTTACACCTCACACATAATCTCTCAACCCAATCCCTAAACCAAATCATTAAACATGATTATCTTCGTGCCAAGCCCATTCTAAATCACAATAATTAACCACTTTGTTGCTCTTTGGGCTTAATTACGCAGATACTTCCAGCAAAACAAAAACAAATAAATCTCTTGACGAGATATTATAGCACCTCTTCATTTCTGAGACAATGCAAAAGCATGTATCTTTTTTTTCCTCTATGTCTATATGCTAAATTATATTCCAACTCCCTTCTATCAATCACTCAAATCACCCGCAAACGGAATTCTAAGCCAACTTTGATTTGATCTCGTAGATAATTAGGAATTCGATTTGGCATCTCAAATTTCAAATGCAATCTTCCTTATTCTTCACTTTTTTTCCTCCTCCTTTTTGTTTTTGTTTTTTTGTGTTTTGTTTTTTGGTGAGGGTGGGGGGAGACTGACTCTGCACGGTTTATTATGATGCAGTGCAGGCGCAGGCAGCATTGGTTGGATTGAAGCCTGTCTGTTTCCAGGTTAACTTGCATACATGCCTATCTGTTTCTAATTAACCCAGGCAGAAGGTGAGAAAGAGGCTTCAGATCAGTTCTCAACTCATGCAGTCATTCCTGGCCACCTCTCTGACCTCTTGAATATATTTATATATTCAAGTCAACTTGAGGAACTTGTACTTAAAATATTTGAAGTCTTTAGATGTCTCATGTCTAATTAAACAACAAGAACATGAATGAGCATATTCCACCCCTAGGAAGGGGGGAAGGGGGGAAGGGGGGAAGTAGGCATGCATTTCATCTTTTGGTTAATCAGCCACCAAAAAGTCTAAACCTAATCTAAGCGTGCATTTCATTAACCAATCACAATGGGCCTAAGTGCTTTTCCATCCAGATTTACTTACCTGATGGCATTTCAAATTAGTTAGTTTTGTATCAGTGAAAATGACAGAGATAAGTTCATGAATTAGGATATAATTGTGTAGCTAATCAAATGCTTAATACAGCTACGCACGAGCATTGACTTGTCATTAAGGACAAGGCTTAAGGCAGGCCTAAGGCACCACGCAAGAATCAAAACACCATTTTTATAGCTAAGATAAGATATGTAATGATGCTTAATTATCAAACTAAAATGTAGTACAAGTACCTCAGATCTTATTAGCAAAGCTTCCAAATTCATGGGCTAATAACATAAGCAAATTGATACACAAGAGAAGCCTAAGTTCTTGCAAGTGCTAAATAAACATCTGGTAACACATGATGCAGATGCAGCCCCATTATTCTCCTTTCTCAACTCCATTTGCTGAACAAGTCACATTTCTTATAGTCTGCAGCCTAAAATTCCACCACAACATTTTACTAATCTGCTCCCATATTTAGTAGCTGTTGCGACTATCGATTCTTTATGAACACTAACCCATGCTGTAAGAAGGTGTTGGCAAGTTGATCACAGTCGTCTTGATCTTGGTCATCATGTTGATGCTGTTGGTGATTCCTTGTGACCCAATTCCACTGTCCTTTATACCCTGTCAATACATCATTCATAAGTATTCACCAAGATGGTGGTCTTTTCTTGGAAGGAAATGGTGGCCGTCAAATAAAGTAAACTAATTAATTTTCTGGAATTTTAAAGATTCACCTGAAACGGAAAATGATCCGGTCCACGAGCAGGTGCAGAATTTATTTGAACCGTTCCTGTCTCCATTGCATCACCAATCAAAATGGCCTTGTTGATGTCCTTTGTGAACACACAGCCCTGCATTTTACCCATGTCATGTGTGAGTCAATATTTTACTGGGGAGAGAGCATAACTGTATAGTTCAACTATGGCAGAAGAAAACATCATTTTCGGTATGCATAAGACATCACGGTATGCAAGTGGAGAGACCCAAAAAAATGTTACCTGGAGTCCAAAATTGCTGGCATTGCAATGGTGGATTCCTTCTTCTACAGAAGTAATCCTAATAACTGGCAAAACTGGACCAAATGGCTCTTCCCATGCAATTCTCATATCAGGCCTGACGTTATCTAACAACAAAGGCCAGATAAGGTTGCCATCTCTCTTGTACTCCTGGCAAAATGTTGCTCCTTTCTGTTTTGCATCCACAACTAACCCTTCGATAAAATTCGCTGATGATTCTGAAACAACTGGAGTGATATCAGAGTTCTCCTCTGGTGGTCCAACAGTTAGTTTTGCCACCCTTTTGTTCACTTTCTCGACAAGGGCATCAGCAACGGATTCCATCACCAAGACAACCTTAACAGCGGTACACCTTTGACCACTGTTACAAATGTGAGTACCAAGCGAGTCAGAAAGAAATCTCATTAGTTGAGTACTATAGATTGCAGCGGAAAGAATTAGACTATGTAATTGCTACTCTGGTGGTGCCTTATACAAGCATAAGATACATAATTAATTTCCTTCACCTGTAAGAAAAGCCTCCCTTTATAATGTTTGCTGCCACCAAATCTAGGTCGGCATCTTCAAGTACAATGCAGGCATCTTTACCCCCCAATTCCATCTGAAGAGGGATCATGCCCGCCTTTTTGGAAATTGCAACACCAGTATCACCACCAGTGAAGCTGAGAAACCGGTATTCATCAGTAAGTAACGATATATCAAGACGAAGGAAAGGGATTCTATTGCAGCATCAAAAGAAAATAATCTGGGATTACCTTATACAACTCACTCCAGGATGCATGGTAAGGAAGTCACCGATCTCAGATCCTTTCCCAGTGACACAACTAATAAGGCCTTTGGGAAAACCAGCCAAGTGAAAGCAATGAACCATATGAAGGCAAGAAACAGCACCCTAGAAGAAAGTTAGGGGTATGATTCAGTCTTTCAGATCATGAAACAATATTTTCATCGAGTGTTTTAGACACAGTTTTTTAATGCTGTACTTAAAAATACATTTTTGCAGGAATTTACATAGTTCGAAAATAAAGGCCAGCTTCCACCTTTCTGGTTTTTCATCATACTACTACTGAGACGTTATGTGTGTGATCAAGAAGGATTGGCGAATTACTCAGAATCAAACACAATGTCCTACGATCAAGTAATAACTGCTGGACCAAAGTGTAATTCCATAGACTGGCAATACCTGAGTTGGAGGCTTCAGCACAAGGGAGTTTCCAGCAATGAGTGCAGGAGCAATTTTTGAGACAGCAAGGTTGACAGGATAGTTAAATGGTGGAATGGCTAAAACCACACCAAGTGGAATCTGCAATCAAAATACAGTTGCATTCAATAAAACTTATAATGATAAGACCTTTCAAAATTATATCAATCTGAATAAAGAGTAGACGGTTAAGGTAGACGTGCGTTGTGATAATTAGCACGGTGAGAGTGGATAAAGATAGCAATTACAGTTATTAGAATTTATGACAATGTGACGAAAGAAATTGAGGAAAAGTAGTTGCAACTGCTGAGAATTAAAGCAAATAATAGAAGTATGGTGGTTGGCAAAGGAAACAAAAGGAAGAAAAATCCCATAGATGGTTTCAGAAGACACTGTGTGTGTTAGTTTCTCAGCTCTTCAATCTGTCACAAGTATCAGACGAAATGTGACACAAACAGATAATATGTTACTATAGCATGACGGATAGCAGCTCCTTTTCAAAAGATGAGAATTAGTTTAATGAGTTCTGAGCTCAGGCCTACTGAGAATTATTTATCACAGACAGTTGGAAGTTACAGACACCAACAATTTCTGGTGGAAATTTGTTTTTGGCTGACATCATCTTTCCTTTTTTCCATAGGCTTAATGCTTACATCATCAAATCAAGCTTTTCATGCATATTTCCAGGAGAAACTCACGAAATCAACAGTAAAAGGAGAAACTAACAAGAATAAGTAGTTGAATTGAAAGTAAAGATACCTTGGAAGTGAGACAGTACTTTGTTCTGTCATTTCCAGGAAAACTATCAGACACCAAGAACTTCCCTTCTCCCAGAATCCTAACCCCTTCTTCAGCACAGTAAGACACCAAATCCCCAGACCTCACAACCTTCATAAAACCCAAGATTCCCATATCAATTTCAT